GGAGGAGAGAGCTTTGCTATTAGTTTCAAAGATGTTTCCGAGATCGAGAGCAAGTTTTCAAAGAAAGTTATCTTATTGATTAGAACTTCGACTGTCATCACTTTCTGAGGGATGTCAAAAGAGAAGCTATGTAGTCTGATTTTCAAAATTTCTCCCAACACCGACGGAAGATTGAGTGAACCAACATCAACTCCTGGTATTTGTGAGGCTAATGAACCGATAGATACATCCACATTGTCTGGTACTGTAAACGTCAAAACTTTGTTCACGTAAGACCCCATAACTCCATTAACTCCACCAATGGCTATTTCAAATTCAGCAGTAAACCCACTCGGAAGTGTGGTTCCATACTTTGCGAGAGGCGAGTTGGGACTTAGAACCTGGGCCAGTAGAGGAGTTGAGAGCTCGTTCTTAGCAATAGAGAATGCCATTACAGGCACACTGAATGTTCCAAAGAACGGAATTGGTGTTATGTCAATATTAGCTGCCGATTTAACAAGATCTGCTAACTTGAACGATTTTATTCCGACAGCAATGGCAATGTTGGATGTTGTTCCGTATTTCTGGTACAGGAGATGGACATTTGCCGTTCCTGCTATCGTACCACTGAAGATGAATGTAAACCTCTCCTTTAGCTTCCGACCAACAATCTTTGTCAGTTTGACAGAGTTAACCGCAGAAGGAATGGGTAGAGTTGTTCCTGATAGACCAGTGACCAGATCACCGATACTCAGACCTTCCCTGGGAATTGCCGCAAACAAAATCTCTCCAATGGCTCTATCATAGGAAACTTTGATTCTGATATTGATGCTTCTAAGGACCCAGTCGCCACTGAACTCAAGTGAATCTACACCTCTGTTGGTGGAACCCAGCTGCGCAATAACAGAAATGTCGAGGTTTTTGACTGTTAGAATTTTAGGAATGATGGTGATTTGGGGGAAATGTGCAGCCACGGAAAGTTTACTGGCTGTTTGATCATAGCGAATTGCTTCCAGCTTGCCACTAAGCAAGTCACTGATTGGTGAAGGAAGTCCTTTCACTGCTTCTTCAAATGAGGGAATTTCTGAAAGTAGACCTTGTAGAGTCAAGCTTGTTGCAGGAGGAACTGAAAAGTCTATGACTTTTTCTGCATAAGTAACTTCTATTCCAAACTTTCCGCCGATTTCTGCCTTGAATACAGCGGTTAATCCCTTTGGAATAGCTTTACCGTACGCTTGAAGCTCAGAGTCTGGATCAAAAGTAGAAGTAAAGTGATTGCTGTATATCGTGTCTGTCGCTATAGTGAAAGCCATGTTTGTTACAATGAAGGAGCCAAGGAAAGGAACCTTTGAGATGTCTGCACCCGTTGCCGTCTTTATTAGATCTGCCAGTTTGAACTCCTCAATGTCGGCTGCCACGGCTACATTTGTTCCTGTCTTGGCCACATCAAACACCAAATACACTTCTGTGCTCCCAGTTCGGGCTGATATTAAGATGAAGGTTCCATAGTCATCTATCTGGGCAATAACTTGTGTGATTTTCAGTGATGATATTATTGAGGGCACTTGGAGGTTTACTTTACCAAATCCGTTGATGAGGTCAACAATACTAAGGCCACCGGAATCAGTTGGATATCCTTTGATGAATAACTTTTTCCCGTTTGTCTCGTACGTCACCTCAGTACGAAGAGACACACTGCGAATGGCCCACGTGGCTTTCATTTCAAACACATTGATAGTCACTGCCTGCAGTGCAGCCATTTCCTGTTCATCAAGCTCAACTAGTTTTCCGAATGCGTAGGAGGCTATGTAAGGAGAGGACCTGTCCCAAGTCGCTAGTTCTTGAGATTGACCTTGTGTTGATTGCAGATTCATGTCTAGACGAATGGTTACATCTTTGAGCGCAATTACATTTGGTACCACATTCAAACCGCTCAGGTAAAGTGTTATTTCAAGGTCTTTTGTAACGGGATTAAAGACTAGCTTTGTGACCTTAGCACTCAGAATGTCTTTGACGGGGGGTGGCAGAGTATCGATTGTTGACTTTACACTCGGAATGAGAGATATGAGCGTTGCAAGTGACAGAGAGACAGATGACGGTGCTGTGATGGTGAGAGTGTTGTCAGCGTATTCCGCATTCAGTCCTGCAGCTTTCCCAATGTCCAGCAGAAATTGGCCCTTGAGGCCTTTCGGGATGTTCTCCAATAGAAGCTCGGGGGATATTCCTGGGATCTCAATGTCCGGTAGTGTGGCAGTTGATAACTGGTCTGAACACAGGACAAAGCTCAGGGCGGGAATTGTCAGGTCACCAAAGAAGGGCACATTGGAAATATCAACCCCCGATCCATATTCTACCAGCTCTGCCAGCTTGAAGGACTTGATATCAGCTGATACTGCGACTGTTTTCTTGTCTTTTACTTTCTCGTATACAACTGCAATATTTGCGACTTCTCCCAGTTTGGCAAGCAACACAATTGAAATGGTGTCACCATTGACTGTTCCAGTCACACGATTGAACTTTAGTTCATTGAATATCGATGGAATTTTGATCTCAGTTCCTGAAAATCCCTTAACTAAGTCCTCCACATTTACACCTTTTGAACTGGTCGGAAAAGCGTCAATGACAATCAGGTTCTTATCGTAGGTTACGTCAGTTGTAAGAGAGAGAGAGCGTAACTCCCAGGTGCCTTTGAATTGGACGGACTCTACAGCTGGTTTGTCACCAACTACTCCCGACAGCTCAAACTCAATGTCGGTCAGGGTGAGTAGATCAGGTATGATTCTGAGTGACTCCAGCGAACCTGAAAACTGAAGTTTTTTCCCGTTAGGAGCATAGTACAGTTTTCGTAGCCTTGTGCTTGCAATGTCTTGAAAAGCTGAAGGAAGCTTCTCCAAAACACTATTGACCCCTGGAATTGCTTTCAGCAAGTTTGCTAGAGAGAGTTCAACTGAGTCAGGAACTGTTACTTCAAGTTCCTTATTGGCAAAATCAGCCACCACTCCTTTGGCTGTTCCAATGTTAAAACTAAACGTAGCTGTCACACCCTTTGATACTTGATCTCCGAAGTTTGCAAGGAAAGAGTTTTCACCATAGATGGTCGATAGAACACGATTGTTGATACTATCTGAAGAAACGGTAAAGCCTATTTCAGGGATGACCAGTGTGCCAAAGAAAGGGAAGTTTGATATGTCCAAACCTGTTGCACTAGACACAAGGGATGCAAATCGAAACTTTGATATCTCAACTGCCAGCGCAACTACAGAACCAGACTTTGATTTCTGATAAATGATGTGGATAATAGCTGAGCCCACACCTCCAGTGAGGGAGATGAGTGTCGTATCTCCAATCTTGTTTCCCTCCAGTTTTGAGAGAGTCACTGATGATGCTATGGTGGATGGAATGGGTAGCGTTTCACCCGAGAGTAACTGAATAAAATCCTTGATTTTGACTTGCCCACCGAGCTCTCCAGCTATGCTAAGACTGTTTTCCTCATGACTATAACCGATGGTTGTGCGAATAGGCAGTTTGTTAAGAATCCAATCGCCAGTAATGTCAAGTGTGTCCACATACCTTTCTGTACCAAGTACCACACTGACTGAAACTGAGACAGACGTAAGAGCAACAAACTCTGGCACTATTACTACTTCTTTGTCAAGAGATCCACTGAACTGTAACTGCTTTGAATTTGGATCGTAACTAAAGGACGAGATTTTTGCACTGAGAAGTGTAAGCAATTCTGGGGGAAGCTTTTGCAGAGCACTTTTAACTTTTGGCATGTGGGAAAGCAAGTTTTCAAGAGTGAGAGATGAAGTGGAGGGAATGGTGAATGATAGACGCTCGTGGACAAATTTAACAGCAATATTGGCTGTGCCGGATATTTCAACTACAAACTGCCCAGAAATACCTTTCTGTATGCCGTTCTTGAATGCTTCAATTGCAGAGCCTTTCGAAACGAGTTCAGCTAGGAATGAACTCATGATATCGTTTGACGCCGCAGCAAACTTTAACTCTGGGACGACAATTGATCCGATTAGGGGCACGCTGGAGATATCAATGCCCGTAGCCGACTCGACAAGGTCAGCCAGCTTAAAACTAGCTAAATCAGCAGCAACTGCTAACTCAGTCTCCGAAGCCTCTCTTTCCACAACGACACTTATTGTTCCCTTTGATCCAATCCGACCATTGAATATGAGCAGTGCTTCGCTCGGTGTTACCGTACCTCTGATGCTGGTGAATGCAAAGGAAGATATAGTAGACGGCAAGACCAGATCGTTTCCAGCAATATTTTCCATCAAGTTCTCAAGGTTCAACGTAAGAGGTCCTGCGGCCTGACTACCTACGTCCAATCTCTTCGAAACACCATCGTACACAATCACAGTTTTGATGGAATATTTACCAATTGTCCAGATCCCTTCAAACTCTACCACCTTTGTTGATATAACCTTCCCTATACTACCAACATAGGTGACTTCAACACTTGATAGCGACAGGAAACCAGGGACTACAGTAAATCTTCTCAGGGAAGCACTCACACTCAACTCCTTTGATGTGGTATTGTACTCAAAAGATGTAAGCTGTGCCGATAGAACTGACTGCAGCTGAGATGGAAGGGATTCTAAAGCATCACGCAGACCTGGTATCTCTGTAGACAAGGATGTTAGGCTCAAACGAGAAGTGACGGGCGGTTTGACTATCAATACACCCTCATCATAACTCCCCATTACATCCTTAACACTACCTATGCTCAGTGTGAATGCACCGGTCACACCAGCAGGCAGAGTGTCTCCATAGGTCGAAAGTGGAGAAGTGCCAAAGATGTGAGGTAGTGTAGGGCTCTTTATCTCTCCAGAAGTGATGGATAAACCCATGGAAGGCACAACTAGCTGTCCAAAGAAGGGAACGCTTGAGATATCAATTCCCGTTGTGCTCTTTACAACCTCTGAAAGCTTGAAGTTTGTAACACTTGCTGCTACCCCCGCCTTTAGACCACCCATCCCTTTATGGAAGAACACATACACCTTACCGTCAGGTACGGTACCCTGCAATGCTATGAAATACTTTCCGTTGTCGTAGATATTTCCCACTATTTGCTTTAGAGTAAACAAGGAGAGCTTACTGGGGAGGTCGTATGAATTTCCAGCAATCTTCTGTACCAAGTCCTTTGCGCTAAGTGTCGAACTGCCACCACTTGTTGCAGTCACATGGAAAAGCTTTTTCGGTCCATTGTATTTGAGGTTTGTCACAAGACTGGTCTTCCCTATTTGCCACATTCCAGAAAACATCAAGCTTTTCAGAGATGGGCTGGACCCAATCGCAGCTTGGACGCTGAACTTAGCGTTAGTCAGCATTATAACATTGGGTATCAGGGACACTTGAGGGACCGTGGTGCTAAGGGAAAGCTCCATGGTTTGTGGATCGTAAGAGAAGGCTGTGATTCTAGAGCTCAGAAGTTCGGAAGCGGTACTAGGAAGAGTGTCTAGCGTTGTCTTGAAGCTCGAAATGTGACTTGAAATTTGATTGACTGACAATACTAGCGATGGAGGGACTGAGAATTTTTTGCTGGCAGGGTCATACTTCACAGCCACAAAAGTGTTTGTTCCAAAGAGCTGAGTCTCACCACTCAGTATCAGAGTGTTGAAAGTGACTTTGGAGCCAATATGCATTCGCACAGACAGTGTTACGTCGGTAAAACTTAAAACTTGTGGAATAAGTACCAGAGTGCCACTAAGTTGGACATGGACATCAAGCTGTCCAGTGGCACAGCTGAAGGAAATGTTCAGGAGCTTATTAGGTGGGAGGCTAGAGGAGCTCAGGCTGGGAAATAGAGCAGTAGTGAGGCTTACTGCATTACCTTCAGCAGCTGATGCAAAAATCACTTCACCTGTACATGGAAATGGTATAGTTGCCAATTGTATTATTCGTGCTAATTTTGGCCTACCTTCTTGAATGTACACACGCCGTTTTTGTCGGCCATGGTGGTCTGAGTATTGTAAGAATAGACCCATATCAATTACACTCAACATAGTTGCATAATTGCTATATCTATTGCTTACCAATATCTGTCTCTGTATTCCAGTACTCCAACATCTTCTGTGCATTTAGAATGTCCTGGTGTGATGGCCCTGAAGGAAAAGCAACATGTACATACGCTATGCAGCATTAGCTACTGGCGTAGCTAGCGTGCCTATATAATTATCATGCACAAGGAAGAAAAGGTGGATTCTATATACTCCAAACTACTTTAACTCCACCATCACATTTGAAGAATATATACTAGGATATACTGCACCCTTTATGATAATATTTTTGTTATATAGCCTACCGAGGCATACGTAGCTAACATACTATGAAAGTTCCAGACTTAGAAGGCGTTACTATGATGGCTGTTTAGGGCCATCCATTTCCATCTAACTTTCTGCCATTTCCATTTCCATTCCACTTCCATTTCCATACTGCTTTATACGCATCTGACTTATGCGCATGCGTATACGCAACGCCACGAGTTCTTCATGTGAGCCGATCAAGTATACTTGATGTTGCCGTGAGCAGAGCAGAGTTGTGCTTGGATGTTGATGTCCGTTTCGAGAGACGAGAGTTATTCCACGAGGGCTACAATCTAATCCTTGCGTTTTTGTGGCTGTGTTTGGTATCTCGATAAGAACACTGAAGCGAGGCAGATTCGCCCTTATTGCGTGGGCTACCAGGAGTCGGCACACAATGACACAACACATGAAACGTGCACTAGAGTGAAGATGCATAATGCCAAGCGTGAACCAGGAATTTTGCTGCTAATAATATTCAAAATTTATCCACCGTTCTGTCTCTGTACTTATCGCTAGTTCGACCCTGCCTTGAATATGCCTCTCAGGTGTGGGACCCACACCTACTGAAAGGTATCAAGGCGATGGAGGATGTTCAGAAGTTTGCACTTCGGGTTTGTTATGGTCAGTATAATTATACCAAGACTCATATGATAACTTGCTCGACATACCAGATCCCATCTCTTGGAAATAGAAGGCTCTAGCTACCTCTTATTATGTACACTCTTTAGTATCGTCAACGAGTATTTGTATTTTCCTAATAATTATACCCACTAGCTCACTCTTGGCACAAAGCACCCGTCATCACCACCCCAAAATGCTCAGTCCCTTTTATATCGCTCTGATTGTCTAAAATCATTTATCACAAAACCGTTCGCCTCTGGAACGACCTACCTTCAGAAGCTCTCACATCATCAAACTTACGTAATTTTAAAATTATATCACCACTCTTCTTATAATGTAATTTTAATGTTAGGTGCACTTATTAGCTACCAGCTATTAAGTGCTTCCTTGCCTTTGTGCAAAAATTGTAAAAAGAAGAAAACCAACAAATATAACACTGCAGTTCACCTTGTGTGTAATTCAGGTGACTATGATAAACCAGGGTCCTTAGATTCAAGCCTATAGTCTGAAGGGATTTTTGCTGTTTACAACCACATGGTCTTAGATTTCTTTCCTCATGCTGATGCCCGAAAACAGATCCCATACCAAACATGTAGTAAGTATTATGCAAATTACATACTTGTGTACTCCCGTGATACATGATCCCAGTCCTGACCACCAGGAGCACCGTAGCTGTCAGCTCCAATGTAAGTGGGAGGTATCCCTGAGGGACAACACAGTGTAGTGACTAATTGAGTTTGATATTTCCTCCAGTATAAACACATTTTGAAACTATAAAGACTATTCTAACAAGAGTTTCTGTTTTTGGTATCATGGTACTCTTCCTTGTTTATGCACAGGGATTCTTCTTCGACAGGAAGGATGTACACATTATTGACATAAATTGATGTCAGACCTGCTGGTTTTTTCCTTGGCATTGCATTGTTCATCACTGGTTCGTTATAATCTGTGAGAAGATAACACACAAGTATCAGGTGCTTTGAACACTAAATGTGATATGTAGTGTATAGTTGTGTGTGAAAGAGAATACAGTAAGTTACTGTTGGTGCATCAAATGGTTCGAGGAGTAAGTTGTTGCTTTTGTTACGGTGGGTGCATCAAATACCTTAGTGGTGTCAGTTAACATTGGTATGTTTCTATATATATACATTGTGCGAAATTCATGCTAACCTTACAAAATACTACATCGCTTTTACAGAGTATATAGATAGGTGCGAGCTTCATTTTCAATTTTTGCACAAGCAATATGCAAATCAGATGACTCGTGATGATTCTTACGTTGTGAATGCTGGAGAGACGCAGAGCCCCAGAAATCGGCATTATTGAGCAAACTGTTGTCGGGAGTAGGTGGACCCGATGTCGAGAAATGGATCTTCCCTCCAGAGCTCAAACGAGGCAAGACTGTCTGGAGATGCTCACATACACTCTTCCCCTGCAAACTCTTCAGTCCTTCCTGCAGACATCCAAACACCATTGCTCATCATTAACATCATTCATTAGACTAATGTAGCTAATAGCTGACCTGAAAATACTGCTCCACATTTGGGATCAGTGATATTGAAGACTGGGCCCTGACGCGGCCGCGGTATCGGTAGGCCGATGCCGACTGCAGCTGCAGCGAGGCTGAGCCCAGCACTAAACCAATGAGGACTAGCGTAGGGCTCAACATGACTCTGATGACAGTGTCTACGAAACTGCGCTGCGCGATGGCTTTAGTAATGCGGCGCAACAGCACGCGCATGCGTATTACGCATTTGCGAGCACTGGCATACTTGCCTCTCTCTGTGTATGTCAAGGCGAGCTAGTTGGATTTGGCTGCGTCATTATAATCCGGTTAACAGTGCAAGATGGTGTCAGGAACCTTGAGCTGCGATAATTCATACCTACAAACCATCCAGCTTTTTGCTTGATTGATACTGCATATCCCACCAGAAAATTGCTAAATCCCTGATACACCATGCCTACACATTCTGAATGGACACACAGCATTTTTTCAAGCAAAATACTCCAAATTTGACACATTTCTCAAGCAAAGGTTCATTAGCATCTGCTCGCCACTAACACTCGCGGCCAAACTTATAAGGTCAACTTGTATTCCCTAGAGCCCTATAATTATCAGCAAGACAGTGAAAGTTAAGGCCACAAACCCAAAAAAACTTCTGGGCTCGTGTTGCACTTACTCAACTCTGCCTAAGCAGATGATGACTTGTATATATAGCATGCAGCTACCATATATTCTCTATGGTATATAAAGGAGGAAATAGAAAGTATAAGTTTTCCACAAGTATTTACTCTTCTTACACAGAAGCCTTCCCTTTCAAACATGTGGGGCTCTAGCAACCTTTAGTCTAAGGGGACACAATTCATTATTACTCACTATAGCTAGCATACCAAAGAGCTCCGTATCACCTTTAGTGTTTCATCTGGGTAGCTACTCAGTTAGCACACCATTAAAATTTTGTTTGCACTTGCAGACTGTAATGTAGCAAATAGCTTGAAAGCATGCAACGTGGTGTTAGCAGCTGTTGTGCTATTGCCACAGATCCTTGCACATAGGCATAAAAAAAACCATCCTCTTTTCTAACCACAGTTTTTTTGATCAACTACTTGCAGAGCACCTGTGTAATGCCTGGCAGTGTTTGTTCAATAAACAGCATTGTCAAACCTGCTTATACTTTTCGGGTAATCTAAATTTGTATTATTTTACTCTGTGTCGTTATAATGGTCTTTGAGTTATGTACACGAGTCGAAGGAGATAATGAAGCTATAATTATCAAGTATTATTATGTAGTCGGACTTAGTGGAGTAAATGCTCTGGTAACAGAACACCAACCATAATTATTCAGAGTCTTCCCCTGTCTTAGTTCCTGCGTTATGCATCACCCAACCTTCAACTCTTGTGTGAAATTATTTTGCTCTGCACTCAGGTAGCAGCAGTTCTTCTATCTTGACACTCTTATATACAGTACTCCTGTAGTGTTCTCCTGGTAAACTCATCTCTTTGCTCAGAATCATAGTGTTCCTTTCTTATCATGGCAAGGTAGATGACGTAGGGAGCCTAAGGTACGTTTCTGCTGGAGCTAGGACTCTCGCTTTGTAACAAGACTGCAAGTACTGCTTTTACCTTGTTTTCCACCATGCGTGGTTGGTGCAGATGGTGAACTAGCAATGCGTTTGGTTTCTTACATGTTCATCAGGGCGAAAACCTGGGGCATTGACAATTGCGTCAAAAAAATAGCAACACAATAATGTAAAATGTATAGTGTCATGATCAGTTTGTCTTGCAGAAAGCTTGCACAGCACGGCGTAACATGTCTTGATAGTATCGACTGAGACCTCATGTGATACGTATGGTGGCGTACGAGTAAGTGTGCGTGGGTGGCGCAATCCGTTTTTCGCTCGCTAATTACTTTTACACTATAATGTAGTTAATTGTATGGTGTCACATTTTACTTCCTCATTTTTGTATCATGTCACTATGAGTAGTCTGACTCTCATCAACTAACTCTTTTTTCGAATGAAGTATAAAGACGACACTGTCACCAGTGTTGTTACAATCAGGAGGAAGACCCAAATTCCAATCAGACCTGCTAGCTCCAATACTGAATGGCGAAGGCCACCATTAGAGCCGTCAGGGGTAGGTGTCACATTCTATTTGTTATTTAAAGTTTAATAATGAGCAAAGAATCAGGTAGCTATCTTCATACTGTATCTCAAGTGGTAAGGGATAACTGTATCCCGCACAGTTGTGGGCTGAGATGCTCACTGACAGTGTAGTATTGTACATGATGTCAAAACTGTAAGTGGGGCCTGGAGCTTCAAACTGTGTGCCGTTGTCCACTTGAATAATGTAGTGATCAATTGGAACTCCTCCTCCATCAAACATATCTCCTAGCCCTAGTACTACTGTGAAATATGTCTCCTTCTCTTGGTTTACAACGCCATCTGCTTTAATAGATTTAGGCACATCTGAAAAGAATGAATAATTCATCACAAGATTACCCAAAGCCTATCCCTCTGGTTCTGCTCACCAACCTGTAGCTAACATAGAGGGTAGCAGTCATGTTACACTCATCATTCCTAACAAAAGTGATACAAGTGACATTTGTTCCATTTCTCACGCCAGACATTGCCACTGTTAGAGTTGATGTCATGTTTGCAAAATTCTCATCAAATGTACAAGAGTTGAGAGGAGTACATTGTCGGTGCTATTCATTGTCAGCCTTCCTTGGTCCCCCATCATTTGTGAAGGAACATAAGTCAGATCAACACCCATTGGACGAGGTTCCACCTTCCATTTCATGACAGACATGTAAATGTCACAGATTTATTGGGACAGGAAAGAAAAGACAGTGGTTGCAGAGCTGGCTCTCCAGTACATAATCGCCTTGTGTAGATGGCAGATAGAGCATTGTCCAATGTCAAACCTTGAAACAAGAGTCCAATGAATAGGATATTTCTCTTTGGCCTGATTTCTTCTACCAGAACCCTTACACCAAACTTCGATTTTCGGAGAGTGAAAATGTTCCGATTGGCCGAGAACACGCGTCACATTAGCCTCCGCGGCGGAGCCCGATCCGTCAAAGGGGGTGAAGTCATTATCAACACGCCCCTTTGCGCTACGGGTGCCGCGTGTAAAGCCACGTCGCTTGCGCCGCGAGGAGGTTTGCACCCTTTCATTTTAGGTAGTGCTAGCTATAGTCACCGGTTGACACTACCATATCGGTAAGGTCACTCCATGTTGTATACCGGTTCCGCCGCCCGCAAAAGAACGAAGTTTTGGCCTAATTTGGGCATGCTGCGCTGTGTGTACTCATGGCTTTGTACTGGTCTCCTCTTTTTGTTTTGACTGCCTTCCCACTACGAATTTTTGTGGTCATATTACTAATGCGGACTAATGAGTAAAACACGCCAGCACTCATCTTGACTTGAAAAGGCCCTGACAAGAAACCAGAATGCAACTTGGAGTGGCCTAATCAGGACCATGCTGTTTGTCAGGACAAGGTATATACTAAGCTAAAAGGTTTTGTAATGTAGCAGTATTTATACTCTCAACAATAGGAAAAGACAAGTTTTATAGAGCAACACTGTCAACAGTCTCATACACAGGGACTGGAGCTGGTGTTTGTGTCTTGTGTGAGTGTCCCTCATTTGACAGTACCCTCATCTCATACAGTGGGTTGTTCTCCATGTTGTAGTCTGGCTCCAGTCTATCACCAGCTGAGCCTTGAACACGGACACCATAAGCAGAGTTCTCCACCACATCACACTTCTCCTGCTGTCTGTTTTTATTAGTACTACCTATGAATTTTGAACATAATCAACACTCTGCCAATGATGGCAACTTACATGTCCTTTTAAGCAAAACAATGAGTACAACAGATATTGTGATGACAAGAAGTGCCCCAGCAGCTGATACAGGTACCACAATCACAAGAACTGAGGAACCATCAGAAATTGGCCTTAGTGTCATACTGGGTGTACTATCCTCCATTGAATCTGTTGAGTGTGGTGTTAGGTAAAATGCATAATTACCAATAACTCCACCTTCATATACTGTATCTCAAGTGTAAAGGATCACTGTATCCTGCACAGTTGTGGGCTGAGATGTTCACTGACAGTGTCGTATTGTACATGATGTCAAAACTGTAAGTGGGGCCTGGAGTTTCCAACTGTGTGCCGTTGTCCACTTGAATAATGTAGTGATCAATTGGAACTCCTCCTCCATCAAACATATCTCCCAGCTTAGTACTGCTGTGAAGTATAATATGATTGTTTTCGGTAGGTAATGACATGTGCTTCTGTGCGATATGGCACATCTACCAAAATCAACAGATTAGAAATATTCAAACTTTTCCAAACATCAATACCTGCAAATATATATGGTAGCACTCACACTAATTCTTCTACCTCCTCTCCGTGTGGCACAGGTATGTTCGTTGTATTAACTACTCCAGATTTTAACTGTTAGATTTGTCGTCATCTTAGCACGCCTGTCGCTGGAATGTCCTACTGAAATTCATAGCACGTTGCAGATAGCAGGTTTGGTCAGTACGGTTCCTGTCGCATTCCTGGATCTTCCAACCCGTCCCTAGAGAATGAGGATCACTCGTCATCTAGTTTGTGTAATGTTCCACCTCGCATTCTATGAGTAGCGCTTGTTCCTCTGCATGTTGATAGTTCACAGACTCATTGTGGACATGTAGGAAGGACAGGAGCTCCATGTACTGGCTCTCTTCCACTAGACAGCCTCCTTGTAAGACGGGAGAAATGCGAGTGGTTACCACGCAGCTATAGCTAACTCACTTTTTCAGCTCTGACGAACTCACCTTGAGTAAACACTACTAGGAGAGCTACATAGTGCGATACATCTCGGCACTTCTCTGCAACATCTTTCCTTTAGATTGTTCAGAAAGGGTAGCACGTAGCTGATTTCCGTTTGCGTCTGTTTGTCTGGGAGCACTTTCCCGCTTCGGATCGACGGTTCGTCGTAGCGCGGCGCTGCATCCCGGATCCGCACGGTCGTGTGTGATCCTGGCCAGAGCGCATACTCTGTTTATATCCCTGTTTACCACTACCAGTATAGCGCGTACTCAGCGCGGTTTCGCGCGCATAGTTTCCAGTCAATGCCCGTGCAGTGCCCGTGACTCCCTCGCTCGCGCCAACATGGATGCTTAGAGGCAGGGTTTTCTAATTTAATTTTATTCTATGGTTCTGATTCTCTTTCTTAACCGTTATTTGTTTCTTACCGAATGAAAGCTTATCGGCACCTCCCAGTGCGGCTCGTGCTGCGCCGACTCATTGACTTTTCTGCATTGAAACTTTTGGGAGGAATGTAACATTACTGCCTCTTTTTCTCTTAGTGAGCTTTGGCTAAAGTGAGTGCCTACCCTACTAGTACGATGCTATTATAATATACGCAGGTTTGTGTTGGGAGAAGCAATTATTCACCCTTCCGTCTATCTATTGCCCGTCAAATGAGACAGTGACCATACCATTGTCATGGCAGTCCAGATCATAAGTCATTCTGACTGTGGGAGGTTTTCAGCCTTACAACATCACTTTGGCAAGACCATGCCTAACGTCGGTGCAGAGCTTACCTACTCTTCTTCCTGCAGGAAGGCTCCATG